CCTTATCATTACTCATCCCTATGCCTTGTGACTAAGGAACATCTATTTATATCATTTTAGCCCATCAAAACGGCAGGTTCGACCGGCTACTCCTGCTGAGAAATCGGCTTTCAATCGTCAGGTTGGCCCTTACATATACAATTTTTTAAAGAGAAATCGGAATTTTCTTTCTTTTGCCTCCTTGCTGCTAAGCGATGCAATCCTGTTAATCCTATACTAAATTGTTCAAACTTATATCTTAATAAAAGGCACACCTCAAAAGGAGTGGAATGTAAACATGTTGGAATTCGTGATACGGCGGGAGTGGGATATAAGGGTAGGGGGTAGATATATGGGTCAGGACAGAAAGAGTAGTAACATGACCGTTTCGATAAAAAGTTTGTCAAGGGACTGACTCATTTTGTCTGAGGATATACCAAATCCATTGCTTCACGCTGTGAATCATGATAACTATTATAGGAGAGTACTTCCGACAAGCTGCGTCCAAATAAATCGACCTGACAAGAGCAATTTGCGAAAACGAGGTCAGCCCACTTTTAATATCTTTTATTAAGTCGTAATGGCATTTCATAAGGCTTGTCTTTATCCCTTCAATCATTATTTATATTTTGAATTACTCTTTTGGGTTCAGGAGGCCAAATAACAGACTCTCTAGCAATGTGCATAATAGTTATCGAAATTGTCTTTTATACAGATTTGATTGTATATTAGCCTTAAAGCAGACAAGACTCACATACGTCTTTGCACTCTCAGGAATATGCCCTGATTTGGAAGCAGCAATTGTAATCTACGATTGCTTTGATGTGGAGTGCTATGTGAAGTCACCAGGGTTCATCCTCTAAATCCATTCCTAAGTTGAAGGTGTTGACCTGACAGAGCCATCAATCTAGATTTATTTGGTTGATATTCTCAACTCATTTGCTTTTGCCCACGCTGATTAGCTTTCTTCGGACGCCTTGGATGCTTAAGACTAGAGGATTAGGACAACCAGCTCACCTAAAAATAGCAATTCGAGTGACTTAGCTAGGCTTAGAATTTGCCATCCTCTACATATATCTTGGCCAAACTCGGTGTCTAAATGATCCCACAATGATATGGTTTTACCTAGTAGCATAACGACTTGGACACTTATTTAAAGTCTATTGATCATCCAATATCAGAACTAAGTTAGGTCACTTCTCAGTGTTTTTAACTTGTATCTATCATCCAGCTAACTTTTAGGCGTACCAGGCGATTATCAACATTGGTACTATTGCTGGCAGCTCAAACTTTCACCTGACTAGTCTCTATTAATTTGTTGTATCAAGAACACCAATCTACCTAACTATTGGCTCGAACTAAAAACGTCTTCGGAATATTGAGTTTTGCAACTCTAGGAAGGTCAAAAGTAGATGTGAATCTCATTCTAGTTCAAAAACTATCCCTATGATTCTTTAATTTCAGGACCAGATTTGTCTGAAATTCACGTCTGCTTACAGGCAGACATGAACGATAGGATTGAGTCATCTGTTGATAATGGATCGAGATCGGACTCGAAACCTGAGTGGAACTGAACTAGCGCATTCCAGCGCTGGGACAAACTTGATGGAATGTCCGTTCATTCAGCTACAAACTCTCATAACTCTGAAAATGATTAGTGATTCTAGATAGTGTCTCTTTTTCAAGATTCTCCTTATTTGAGTTCGACAGCTTGTTCAGGTGTCAAAATGGCTTAGAATTATTTTCCCCAAAGACCTTAATGATTAGCCCTTCTTGCATATGCCTTTTTTTGAACATTTTATCATACAGAGGGCAGAACCAACAAGCTCTATTCCAGGAATACCGAATCATTGATGAATAGTATCGAACAAAGATAAATCCAGACTGTCTATGAGATATTTTCCAAGGGATAGTCTGTCTACACTCCCAACAATAAACAGTCTCTTTAGACATATGCCGGTTTGCTTGATGAAGCCACTTAATGAGAGAAATAGGTAGAAATGTAAAAGCCTAACTAACATGTAAAATGTATTTCCAAGATCTTATTAATTCTAAAATATTTGAGGAATGTACTTTCAAAAGAAACTGGAAGAAACGGAGTAGAATAAGAAGACAATCACGAGGAATATTTTTTGAGTAATACACAATGACTACTATCGCCTCAGAGATTCAGGGCAAGATACAAAGGCACTAAGTTTCCGGACTCAGAAGGCAATGAGCGCGCGCCTAATAAGATTTAATTACAAATAAATATATACATGCAAACATGCTCAATCTTCATGTAGTGTAGGAAGCAATGTTCGGAAATGTAGTGAAGAATAACTTGCGTTTGTGTTGTAAACGAGTTGCGATTTCATTCGATTTAAGTGTAATCATAGCGATGAAGATGAGATAGTTAAGCCAAAATGGAAATGATCGGATGGAAGGATAAAAATAGGGGTCGCGGGGTTGCGTGAATTATATTCTGTCATGCACACGAGTTCTAAAATACCTCCTTATTTATTCAATAAGAGCAAAGCAATTGAAAGAATGCTTTATCAATTACCTCAAGAATAGTAAGATTATTGCGTCTACGTTCACCATATCCACAAGCCTGATAGTCTATTTAAAGTACTAACGCTTAGTCAATAAAAAGGCCTTCAAACTTGATTATGGAGATTGAGGATGATCTAGAGAATAGCAATAAAAATCACCACGACGGGCCTAGGTCAGGATCCCTGGCATTTGACTCTTGGCTGGCCATGGAGCATGTTCCCTGTCGCTCACGATGTCCTAATGAGACGCTAGGGACACCACCAGCATTCCGCAAGATCTCGGCTGGCCCTATTGAGCGGACCACTCTGTAACCTCTAGGAAAACCAGTGGCCGCATTGGTTGCCATCAAAGATGTACAGCCAGTCTCAATCCAATCGCCATGGAAGACTCCGCCACCGGAGGGAGGAACAGTGGATAATACAGTCCTTTGATGTTGTTGTGTAGACAAATAAGAGTCATCCGACCGAGGCGGCTGGCGTGAGACAGCACCAAGTTCAAGACTTGAAGCAGATGAATTGGCGGGGACGAAATGGCAGCGCATCGGCTTTGAGCGGACAGGGTTCGAATGTGTAGAAAGCAGGGAACTCTGAGGATTCATTTGACGTTGGTGTTGTGGTAATTGAATATGCTGGTCAAATGGATGACTGACATCGGTAGGGAACTCATCTTGCGAACGAAGAGTTGCCAAAGGGATCGGTTTGCGCGCATGCTGTGGACGAGCAGGCCCTGAAACTGTGTCAAGCCGATGAAATGGCTGAACCAAGCTCGAATTCTGCTGCTGTCGTTTGCTCTGATCCTGTCGCTGTTGCTGCAGTTGCATTTTATGCTGCTGTTGCTGTGGACGAGGGTGATGGGTATCAAGGGGAACGTAGCCGGAGGTAGGTCTTAATGGGGAAAACTGAGAACCCCTAGGCAAGATTTGCTGTTGTTGGTGCTGCTGTTGTCGGAGCCACTCGGCCTCTTGGTGCTGTCGAGCAAGATCAGCGGCCTCTAGTTCCTCTATGTCTGGAATGTAGTCTTCCTCTTCTCCCATATCCTCCATATCGTCATCTTCCTCCATATCATAATCTTCGCCACCAAGATCTTCATCAATGTCATCCTCGCCTTTTTGAGTGCAGACTTTGTTTATCTCAAGGCCGGAGTAGGAATCGCCTCGTTTAAGAGCATCATGGGAGACGGTGAATTCGTTTGGATCAAAGCGAGCTGAGTTGGTGTATCCATCGATGCCGAGAGCGGTTCGGGGTGAAAAGTGCCCTCCTTTGTAAAGAGACGAAATATATTGACACATA